TACATATAAATAATCGTGAGGCTCCTGTTCTCATTACCCTATCTAATCTAATAACACCAAATTGTACAGATAATGGGAGATACAAGGCCCTTTCAAAATGGTCTAACACAGTACTCTGGGACAGTGATTTCTACTTTAGCACACTTGCATTAATGTCTACTAAATATGTTCTAGAAAAGTAAAGAATGGAATACTACTAATATGTGGAGGGGGTCTTCTTAAATTTCAGTGGTAAATATAATACCTTGTTGTTTTTTTGAAACTTTAAAGCTTGGCACAGTTTCATGTTTATTTTTTAATTCCCCAGAAACAGACCTTTAAGTAAACATTCCTGGGCTCTACTTTTTAAGATTTTCTGACTACTCAGGTGAGATTGGTCTAACTCCTACTGTGACCCTACTGTGCCCCACAAACAGTAATACTAACAGGAACCACACTCCAGGCTGCTTCTCTAACCTTAACCGTGAGACAGTTCTCCTTCTCAAGAGTCAGTGAGCTTTAATTCTACAGGTTTGGAGAGAGCAGTAGGTTTGCACCAAGCTCTACGTTGTTTCATTTTTAATGAAGGAAAACAAGAAAAGCTATTTTTTTTCCATTTTTTTCTGCCCCCACCCTCTCAGCTATTTTCATTTATACCGAACTTCTATTTGTGAAAGATTAAGCTTTATATGCACAGGCACACATACTAATGCATACATACAAATGTAAACATACAATATGTAACACGCACTCGGCACCGTCTGGAGGACCTAGAAACATAGAGGTTTAATAGACGATTTATCCTAACTTTACCCTGAAATACCCAAAGTGATATGAAAACCTTAAGTACATTTGGAATCATGAAAACTTTACATTAACAAAAACAGCCATCTCCTATGTTCTCTCTTCTTTCCAAATGACACGTTTCTGGGCATTAGCAGTGTTCTTATCCCCCGGGCTGGATATGTTCTGTGGACAGATTAATGCTGGAGGCCCTTAAGTGTAATGAAGCAGGATGGGGCGCGGGTCATCCTGCGAGTACCAGATAGACCTTCCAAACATATAATCTTCCTTCGGGCAAACTCACTAGTGATTCAAAGCCCGAGACAGTCACACAAACCTGTATCTGAATCCCTGGCTCCAACCTTACTGAATGAAAGTGGGCCGATGTCTGTGCCTGTTTTCTTATCTACAAAATGAGGCAATAACAGTATCCCACAGTGGAGGATTAAAGTAATGCCCGTCAAGTGCATAACACAGTGTTGAGAACTTAAAAGTTCAATAACCTGTCATCTCCAGCACTGTTATTTGTGAGAAGTCACCTTTCCTGTTCTCAAACCTGCGAACTTGTAAGATCGAGAAATACAAACCAAAGATGAAGAAGAAACGGGGAAAGACAAAATCGAAACAGAAACAAGTCTGAAAAACCTCTTCGTTCTCAGGAGCAGAGACAGAAGTCGAAAGTAAAACCTGCACCTATTTGCTTCTTGCCGCAGTGGCTGGAAGAGAAAACACCAGACCCGTGTGCGCCGACATAAACAAACTCGGTGGCGCCGCCCTCGGATCCCGGGCAGGGAGGGTGGCGGTGAGAGCACTCCCGGCCGGAGGCTCCGACCCGGGCGGGATACGCCCGGAAAGCCACCCGAGCCCCGGAGGCTTGTCCCCCTCGGCGACCCCGCTCCCACCGGAGACGCCAGGGCCGACTCCCTCACCTCCACCAGCCGGCAGCTCCCGGGAACAAAGTGTATAGAGAGCTCTTTCTCCCGCCCCACCATGCCCGCCGTCTTCACGCCGCAGCCTCAGCGGCCGCCACCTCCTCCAGCCCAGGATCGACGCGGGCCGCAACTCAGACGCCCTCGGCCCGCCTACCCTAGGCCCAGAACGACCCCGCTCGCGGCTTCCGGCTTCCGCCGCCATAGTCGCGCCCGCTGATTGGCCACGCTCCGCCGACGCCCCAGAAAGAAGGCGGGCACGCGCGGTCCGCCCCCAACCCACGCGCCTGTGCTTAAAGCCCCGCACAAAAGAAAGGCCGTGACCTTAGGCAGTGAATTCAGGTCTTGTTTCGGAGATTTTTGTGTGCTTTTTCTTCTGCTTTTTTTCTCTTTTTCTTAACTCGACTCGGAAAAAGATTGAACTGGCTCGCCTTGAGTTTCAAGTTTGCAAACTGCGCATTGCATGATCAGCTGAGCAATATATAAAGTAGAATGAAAAGCATTTTAAAGTCCTGGGGAAGCGAGACGGAGGTGGGTAGAAAACAATGGACCCTTCTCTAGAGCCCTATTTGTGGATTTTGGAAGATTTAGTAAAAGACAAGGAATGAAAATAAAAGGGTTGGCGTCTGAGCCATTTGTCTCCCTGGGATGCTTTTAA